GAATATAAATCGATAGTTACATAGACCAGTAATGGCAAACCTTTTAGAGCTTTCAATGATAACAAATACCCCCTTGAGGCACTCATGCCATAAGTTCACCACCACTGATGCAGACTCTTAGAGACTACAAAATCAGCTGCTTATTCTACCAGGGAAGTTGGAAAGTAGCTTTGGGTTTCTGAAAATGGAAATTGATGAGAAGGTCATCTAACTTCCATTCCTTCCTTGAGAAGACTGAGGGCTGTTTCTTGGAGTAAAGAAGACAGTGAAAGCTGGGTACAGTGGTCCTCACCCATAATTCTAGCTACTTAGGAGGCTGAGGCAAGAGAATCTTAAGTTTGAGGCTAGCCTGAGACACTTAGCAAGATCCTGTCTCAGTGAATGAATGAGTGAATGAGTGAATGAGTGACATTGAGCTGATTCTTTGAGTTGCTTGACTCCAGAAGCCTCAGCCAAGTTCAGAGCCTCTCTAACAGGTTAGGAGCCCTGCGTATCTCCTGATAATCCATTTCCAGCCTTTCAAGGGAGAGGAAAAGTAGGGCAATGTGCAAGAGGGAATAGGGATTCACTGCTGTGTTTGCATGAACTGCTGGGGTGGGATGGAAACTCTCCCTTTGTTTTTCTAGCTTTGTGCCTACTGAAGAAAGGAAAACTATTGCTGATAAATGTGGGTGATTAAATTTGGATGGAAAAGACCCCATCCTGAAGAATTAATTCCAATTTGTATAACAGGAATGGATATGTGTTGTATATTTAAAGGAATATTTAAATGTCATGCAGCAATTTGCAAGTTCAAATGAAAAGCTATTTGCCTCATTTGGATCCAAGGTTACAAGGTATATAAGCCAAAACGTACGCCTAAGGTAAAAGCTACTGTATAATTGCATATATTTTGGTTTTTGTTATAAAAACAAACAAAAAATCTATAAATGATGACAAGTCACCCATAACCTCTATCATTTTTTAAAAATGAAACAGAAACTCGTTTTTCCATGTACTTTGCCTGTGTGTATATAAGCCTTTTTATTCAAAGCTTCATTTTTTACTCAAAAGCTTTTGCATAAGCATCTTCTTATATGGCTCCCCGGTCTTCATGATGTTACCATATTATAGTCCTTCTAGTTAATGTGCCATAATTGTTCTCTTATTTTCTTTTTTATTTAGGTTGTTTCTAAATTTTTGCTCTTATACTTTGGTCTGATTTGACAGTCTTTGTAATGTGGACATTTTCTGACTGTGGGCAATGAAAACATACTTTTTAAAAGTATTTCTCTTAAGTGCAGGCATAACCTAAATATAGAAATAAACTTTCTCCAGCCTGGACTGGACAGCTTTTTTTTTTTTTTTTTAAATTTTTCCAGGCTTTAAATTCTTAAAAAACAAACAAAACAAAACAAATATTTTTCCCAGAATGGTTGGGATAGAAGCTGTAAAGAAGTCTAGCCTCCATGTTATCTCTTTCTTTCTCTCTTCTCCATTATCCACCCACCCCCAACAAAAACTCAGAAACTCAAACTTTAAGGGCCAGGGATTTAGCTCAGTGGCACCTCGCTTGCCTCACAAGCACAAGGTCCTGAGTTCGATCCCTGGTACTCGAAAAAAAAACCCCAAAAAACAACTTTAAGCTCTATGTTTACCATAGCTACCCACTTTTTCTTATGGCTCTTTCTTAGACCCAGCATTGATACAAAACTGAGGGGCAGGTGTGTGGGCTCAAGAACATTGGCCCTGGGCCCCAGTTTTGGGAGGACTCTTAGTTACAAGGTAAGGAATTACGATAGGGAGGAAGCAGCTCTCAAGGAAACTTAAACTACAATGCTAAGGAGGCATCCGAGAGAGTAGGCAAAATCCAGGCTTTGAAATAAGACCAAACCAGGAAAGCCACCTCTGCCACTTACTGGTTGTATGACTAGGTAAGCTACTTAACTTCTGTGATTGTTTCTCCATCTTCAGAATGAGTCTTGTAATAATGTCTACATTATAAAATTCAGGACATGTTCAATAAAAACATTGTATGGTAAGTTTTGAGAACAGTGACTGACACAACAATCAAGGATGGACAACTTCCGTAGCTGTGTCGATACTGAAACACACCAAGTCTTGTGTCCCTCAGTCTACCCTTAGGTCACCCTCCCCGTGCTGTCCCTCGCCCCTTCCCTACTCACCGGTGAGGCTGCCATACTGTGCTGTCTTTTCTCTTTCAAGGCTGTCACGGAGGGTTCTTTCATCAGGATGGGTCACAGAGTAGGACTCACTTAGCCTGATAGCCCAGCTGGATCTTCCCCAAATCACAAGGAAGCAAGATTTATCACCCTTCAGGACTAAAATCTGACATTGGGGCCCAGTGAGAACAGCCCCGTCTGGGAGGGAGAAGAAGGCCCTGACTAGACCCCCAGCTGAGAGATCATGGTGGCTCTGTAGGGAGCTGCCAACCCCAGGGGCATCCACAGGAGAGTGCCCAGGTCCTGTGTCTCCCCCAGGGCCTGATGGGAGTTCAGCTACAGGGTTAGGTTTCCTGCCTACTTCTCAGTGACAGCGTGGAAACCCAGCTCATTGCTCGTTGATCTCCCAGTCAAAGGAAAGTTACCTAGGCTGCCTGAAAGTTGACTTCAGACAACAGCATCCTAGTCACCCTCCAGGGACATCCTCAGCATCTCAGGCTCCATGGTTCCAGGCTTCATGGCTCCCTGGTTTGGACTAGTGGCTCCCCCTCTGTATCTTTAACCTTTAGGCAAGGGAGTTGAGAGGAAGTAGCAGGCAATTGTGTCAGTAGGAACAGGTCGCAGACATGCCAGGGGAGGCAGGAGCTTATGGCTCTTATTTAGCTGTAGCTTTTGCCTAGAGAGCATTTCTAGTATGAGACAGGCTGCAGGGACCCAGCCAGAACCAGGAATCCAGCCAAGCATCTGCTCTGTGCTCTTAGGCTGGCTGGCTAGGGCATCCGATACCAGGGAACATCTTTGCTTTCACACATTATTGTCCTGGGGCTTCAGTTACATTCTTGACTGACAGCCCAGAAACAGGGATAGTGAGCACTCCAGAAATCCTCATGCAGTGGCGACGTGAGCTTGCGGGTAATGATGGTGCAGGCCCCTGGTCTTCAGGTGGAGAGGTCGCTGCCACCTCCGGACAGCGGAAGGAGCATCTTGGCCTCAGATCTAGCATTAAGGGAGGGGGCGGGGGGCCAGTTCCCCGCTCATCAGAGCTGGATCATCCTAAGGACTTTGTACTGAGTGTATCAGCAAAAGCCGGGCACCCAAAAGAGCGAGGAATACTACAGAACTTAATATAAATTAATATTTAATTTATATTTTATGTTTCAGAAAGTAGCATTGACAAAGTCATCATTAGAAAAATAAGGATTTTGGGCTGGGGATTTAGCTCAGTGGTTCCACCGCCTGCCTCGCAAGCAGAAGGACCCGAGTTCGATCCCCGGTACCAAAAAAAAAAAAAAAAAAGCATTTCTATGTTCTTTATAATTTAGTGATTTTTGGAGTGTGTGTGTATGTACACATGGTGTGTGTGTTGATTAGGATTTTTATTTTTATTAGCACATGTTTGTAGCCCATAATGTCTACATTCCTTGTATGGAATTGGTATGTGTACGTCAACATCTGTTTTTTTGGAGACAGGGTGTAGCTGTGCAGTGCAGGCTCTGTGGGCCGGGCTGGCCTCAGAGTCATGGCAGTTCTCCTGCTCCAGCCTTTCAAGTGCTGGATGACAGGCTTGCACCGCCACACCCTGCCCATACCACATTTTAATTCCCTGTTTCGTGCCCTTTCCCTCCCCTCCCCATCTCTTGGTCCGCTTCCCTTTTTAGACAGCTCTGTCTTCCTACTTCCTATCACCTATCTTTTATTTTGCTCTTTATTTATAATTTGAGTTTCTCATATAAGAGAAACCATGCAATATTTAAGCTTAGGCGTCTGACTTCTCTTAACATTATGATCTCAAGATGCATCTATTTTCTCACAAATGACTCAAGTTTGTCCTTCCTTATGGCAGAGTAGTCCTCCATTGTTTTGTAAGTACCACATTTCCTTTATCCATTCATCTGTTGATGGACATACAGGTTACTTCCAATATTTAGCTATTATGAATTGTGTTTTTGGAACAAGGTTTTTACCATGTAGCTCAGGACAACCTTGAACCTGCTATGTAGCTCTGAGGCCTCAAACTCATGATCCTCCTGCCTCAGCTGGGACTGCCGATATATGCTACCGTGCCTGGCTAGTTAGTGATATTATTATCCCCAGTCTCAAATGTCTTTAGTGCTAAAGGTGTCTTAAGCTGACCATCACATGCCGTTGGTGCCATGACACCACCACAAAGAACTGGGTCCCTCCATGGCTTCTCTTGACTCTTCTGAGAACGAAGCTCACCTCTCCTCAACACACATCCATAGGAGCTGTGGCCCTCACCACTGCCACTAACCACCAGAGGGACCTGCCAGTCAGCTTTTTACCTATGTGTTGTGTGCTGAGGGATCCTGGGTGGACAGGGCCAGCCCCGAGCCTCCTGAGCTTCACCAAGTCATGAGTGTCAGGACGGCCCCCCGCCCAGGACGCGTGCCAAACATTTATTACAGTAACAGAAAGCTGACTACCATAAAACCTTTTGTTATTTAATAGCACTAGCTCCCAGAAGAGGACAGAGGCTGTTTTTGTCATCTTTGCACTTAGTGTATTCCTGAAATAGACAGGTCAGAAGAAAGCTTTTGAATTTGATATAGGTGCAACTCATCTGCCTGACAGTAAAGTCAGTACAGTGCACCCTTGACTTATGAACTTGACTGGTTCCCAAACGCTGGTTGTAACTCAAGTTGGCTGTAAATCAGTACAGCTGAGATCTGGATGTTTAACTGGATACAAGCTTAGATAACAAGAGGCAGGGCAGGGGATTTAGCTCAGTGGTGCCGCTGCCTGCCTTGCAAGTGCAAGGTCCTGAGTTTGATCCCTGGTACCAAAAACAAAACCGAAAAAAAAAACAAAGAGGCAGATGAATCTTCCACTAACCTAATTAACCCAAGTTGCTCATATGTCAGGCCAGTTATAAGCCGAGGGTCCACTGTAGTTGATTACAAGGTGTTAAATGAGGGACCTTCTTCAAAATATTTTTGTTACTCTTCTTGAAATCCCTCTATTAATAATTTTTTCCTTTGACGTCTATCCCCCTTGCCCACGTGTCTTATTTTAAAACTCCCATGCCATTGGCCAAAGATTATACTAACAAAAACCAAAGTTTTACCTCCTTTGCATTTTTTTCCCTGCAAACCCCCTAAACCAGGGCTTGATGAACTATGTCCTAGGGACCAAATTCAGCAAGCCACTTGCTTTTATACAACCTGAGAACAAAGAATGGTTTTTATATTTTTAAACAGTAAAAAAATCTCAAAATAAGAATAATTGTTCATAATATATGAAAATTATATCAACTTGAAATTTTAATGTTTATAAATAAGGTTTTGTTGGAGCCCAGCTATATCTGTCCATTCACTCATGTTGTGTCTGTGACTGCTTTAGTGCTATGAGGACAGGAATGAGCAGTTGTGACAGCAACATCAGGGCTTACACAATCTAACATATTTGCTATCTGGCCCTTCACTGAAGTTTGTTGCCTTTACAGGGAAGCCATTTGTGTGCCTAGATTTATCCCATCAGCTTGAGTACTTTTTACAAAAATCACTAGATGTGGTCTTTTCAGTGGAAAAGTGATCCTCACTTTAAGAGGTATATGGATTCCCAGAAAGTTCTATGTAAAAAGAAGCCTTATCAAGAAAATAAATACTTTTTAGGCTTTAGAGAAATGAGCCTATTGCCTTTCTGAGGTTTGGGGAACAGGTAGGTTGGGATGAAAGCCAGTGTCACCCCAGAGACCACTCCTCTTCATTTTGTTTTCACTGCTCGTAATTCTTGGAGCTGAGGCCCCTCGGCGCTGCTGCACCCCATGCTTAATCTCTGGGTCTCAGCTCCGTGGAAGCAGACTGTTTGAATTATGATCCAAGCAAGAGAGAGATTTTTCCCAGGGGTAGGGGAGGAAGCAATTTACTTGGGTAGTCCCAACAACGTGCCTGGGAAATCATCTGTCTGCCGCTGAATGGTTTCCATCCCGCGAGGAGCGGGGGGGAGACAAGGGTGGGATTCCCCAAGTGGTTTTTCTCCCCTTCTCCCCACTTCTACCTCGAATTTATTGGTAAACGCATGGTTGTCATTTTAGGCCCCCAGGTCCCCCGAACTGCTGAGTTGCCAGCACAGGCTTTTCACGTAAGACGTCACATCGAAGTTGGGAAAGCTGATGAAGTCCAATCCAGTGTGATTTCCCCTGGCTCTTCGGAGCTTTAGGTTTGCCTGGATTTGCCAGAGGGATTTCGCTGGTCTCACCCGAATGAGGCTTGAAACTGTTTTCTCTTCTTACCTTAGATTGTCACAGCGAGGGGATGTGTGAGAATTCTCGGGAGCAGCCTGTGAGCCTTCTAGCTGTGCTCTGAACGTGAGGAGCAATTTAAAAGTCATTTACCTTCCGCCTGTGAGATGAGGAGAATTGGCGTAAAGCCACAGATGGTTACTCTGCCTGCCCCTCCTCCTCGGTAGTGAAGGTTTGTTTCTTTGTTTCCATAATGTGATGGAGTGTATGTCATGAAATACCTTAGACCCAGAATCCCCAATCTTTTCCTCATGTGAAGAAACTTCAAATTTGCCCAGAGGCATAAATTCAAAGATGTTAGAATTGGAAAGGAGACTTTATTTTACAGATGTGATACAGCAGACGAGATTGTTGAAGCCAAATTGTTCAAGATCCCCAGCTAAGGGGCAGCAGCACTCACATTATGCTCTAGGGATCCTGATGTCATGTCCAAAGCATTTCCCATGGGACCACACTGCCTTCTTTCCCACGGTTGGTGGAGGCGGTGAGGTTATGGGTACAATTAAGAAAGATAACTGATGGGTGGGATCACACCACTAAGAAGAGAGAGGAGTTGCTGCTATATGCCAGGCAGAGCATCTTTGATACAAGCTATGAAGATTTCTTTATATTAGGTAAGGCATGAAAACCCAGCTTCGAGACACACGCTGTAGACCCTGCTTTCAGACTGTTAATTCTAAGTTCCCACTGCTGCTATGGGCTTTGTAGCACTCATCTTATTTAATACAACTATGTGGTTAAGCAATATTGTCCCCATTTTAACTGATAACAACATTGAAGCTCAAAGAGGACACAGAGCTGGAAAGGGCAGAACTGGGATTGGGACACAGGGCTCTCTGGGTGCAAAGCTCAATGCTTCTCACCATCCCATGCCGTCTTCTGCTGCAAATGCTCATGAGCATAGGGCTGAGCCATCAGTTTGAAGATGAGCAATGCAAGGCTCCTGGGCTTGCTGATAGACTGGCCATGGGTCTTTTAGGGAGCCCTGGGTTGAGCAGTCACTGGGATGCAACCCAAAGGAGAAAACCAAGCACCTCTAGCAGAAAGATCCAGTCTTCTCCACAGAGCCTGGCCCTCCTGACCTCACGTCTACTGTCACCTGTGATGTTTAGGGCATGGCAGTCAGTGTCCCCAAGCCTGCTGACTTGATGTGAAATGAAGAGCCAATCTGATCCTAAACCATGACAGAGCTTTATGCTATTTTTTCCCCTTAAGGACAATCCCCTAAGAAGACTGGAAATTTAGAACCAAAACCTTCTGGCTGGCCTGGCAGAACCAGCTTTTTAATTTATATGTCAGAACTAATGTCACTTGTAGGCTAAGAGGTACAGCTGAGTCCCCCACTCCAGTAGCGCAACTAACCATTAAGTAGACCTTCACATGTAAAATTCAGTGAGGGGCCAGGGATTTAGCTCAGTGGCACCGCGCCTGTCTCGAAAATACAAGGTCCTGAGTTCAATCCCTGGTACCAAAAAAATTCAGTGAGAAGACTCTTCTCCACCAGGACTTATGACTACTATAGACCCTGGGTATTTCTGCCTTTATGCATTCTTTCCTCCATTAAAAAAAATTAAATTTAAAATTGTATTTTACCTCTGCATTGGTAAGACAAATATATTGATATAGTAGGACATTTTCTTTGAACCAACAGGATGTTTTTTTCTGATTATGAAAGAAGTTAGTCTTTCCATGGACCCCAAAGAGTACTGGGCATTGTTTTGCCTCCTGAGGCTAAGGGAAGAGCTCCCCTTCTATCCACACCCCTCCCTCCCACCCTCTGTGGCCTCCTTACCTCAGCTGGCACAGAACCTCTATGTGCTGAAGGGAATTCAGAGGGCAGTGCATTTCTTCCCTGAGGAAAGCTAGAAATGAAAGACAGTTGTCGGAGCGAGCCCAGGACTAGGAGTGGAGAGGCCTAGTTTGACTCCCCAGCTGTCCCATGGAGATACATCTCAGTCCCACGGAGGTAGTTTGAAAGTCAAAGGGTCAAAGGACACAGAAGCAGGAGCAGAAGCAGGGGAAATGGAGCCAGAATTCTGATTCATCTCCATGCTCTCTATCCGTGAGAAGATGTCCAAAGGCAAGCAAAAGCCTTGTCCTGACAGATGGCGAGGTCCTGTCTTGGGCCATCCCCAAAGGCAGCTTCTGCCCAGGGGGCTGTGTGGGGATAAGATGCATAGGTTCAAGCTTGTGGAAAGGGGCAGGGAAAATGTTGTTCTGCAGATGTGAGGGGGCTGGGAGTTGCAGGCCTGCCCCGAAACCCTGCTGTTGAAGAAAGAACCAGCCAGCAAAGAGAGGTGGCCACTGTGGTATGGGCTCCCTGGAGTGCTGCCCCGGGCTGGGGAGGCTGCGCTGCAGGCACAGACCCTTGGGAGGGTGCAGAATGAGAGGAGGGTGGGCACCGGGTGGAAAAGGCTGGAGCCAAACGGAAGGCAAAAGGTTGCCAGGTACCTAAGTGACTTCGCTCCATGGCCCTCAGAATGATCAAGTTTCTGGTAGAAGAAGGAAGAAGCAGAGCTTTGTAACCAGTTTTAATACCAGCCATAGCCTCAGGACAGGCAGACACACAGGAGCATGGAATCAGAAAGGGGCTGGAAGGGAGGTGAGGGACAGGCCAGGGCTTTCAACAACCACAAGCAGAGCCAGCAGGTCAGTCCCCACCACCACCACCATCCCGATCAAGCACCCAGCCAAAGAGCTCTTTTCAAAGGCCTCTCAAAAGCACGCACAAAATTTATGGGATCTAAAACACAAAGAGAAAAGAATAAAACTGAAAGTAATACATTTTAATTAAATGTCCATAAAACATGGAATTATGTCAACTTTGTTCCTTTTTTAAATTAGCGGTTCTAAATTCTGTGTTTGGGCATAATGGTAAGGTTTGATTTTCTCACTGTGTAAAATTTCTTGCGCATGTGTGGTGACAGGCCGGGGAGCCCAGCCAGCCCTGCAGTAAATGAATACTTGTAGCTAAATAATTTCAAAAGCAAGAGTAATAACCCTTTTGATCTTTCCCATGGTAAAAATTATGTGTTTATGTGAAATATGACTATATTCTAGTGTGTTAGATATGATGTGGAATGTGGACTTCATAATTAGAGAAGACCCTGGGGCCTGGAATAGTCTTAAACCAGCCCTGGTCCTAAGTCGTGGAATTGGGGTTCAGGCTACATGGAACCAGATCTCTGAGGGGTGAGATGGGGGAGCTATATTAACATAATAACAAGATTGGGTAACCCTCAGAATGTTCCACTTCAGAGTTTGTACACCAGTGCTTTGAGCCCTGAAGGACTGTCCAGAGGAATGTGCATTTAGTCATTCATTCATCCATCCATTCAGTACTAGGGATTGAACCCAGGGCCTTCTCACTGAGCTACATCCCCATCCCTTTTGTCCTGTCTCATTTTGTTTGAGGCAGTCTTGCTAAATTGCCCAGGGGCTGACCTCAAACTTGCAGCCCTCCAGTCGCAACCTCCCAGAGTGCTGGGATTATAAGCATGCACCACCACGCACCCCGCTGGGAAAAGCTTTTAGAAGAAGCGCCTCCCTAAGGCTGAGCCACCCATAAAAGAGAGGGTGAACCGGAATGAGTGGGCTGTAAATTCACTGCTTGGCTGGGGGCAAGTGGCCTGGGTGTGAGGCCAGGCCCTGGACCACTGCCTGGCAGCACTCAGCAGCGGAAGGGCTCCTGACTGCAGCTGGAATGTCTGCCACCCATTCAAACTCTCCAAGTCAAGGCTGACGGCTAGCTTCCCTTTAAAGACATCTTTATTTATACTTCTTCCTGTGATGATTTCATTCTTACACTTGAAAAAAGGGAAGAGGAAGGCTGGGGATTTGGCTCAGTGGTGCTGCCGCCTGCCTAGCAAGTGCAAGGTCCTGAGTTCGATCCCCGGTACCACCCCAAAAAAGAAAGGGGGGTGGGGGGGAAGGGTTCTCCAGACACGACTCTCTCTCCCCACCTCCCTTTGTGTCTTTGATGTTGCTCTGGGCTTATAGCTCACATACCTCACAGCCACAGGTTCCACCCAGCTGCTTCTCTCTCTTGCCCTCCTCCAGCCAGCTTTCTTTCTGTGAGGCACCGAAGGTGGCCAGCAGACACCCTTCTGCCCTCTCTTGGGCTGCATGGGGAACTGTGAGGGATGTCAGGAGTCTGGATAGAGGAGGAGAGACTGAGCCTGACAGAGGCAGGATTCACACTCCCTCTCCTCATCCCCCTCACTGGCTCTGGCACTGACTTCACCCCTGAAGTGGCCCAGTGACCAGTGGGGAGGGGGGTTTGTAGCCCCGCTAGTGCTGCCTGCTCCTCACCAGCTGGTGAGCTGGGGGAGGCAGTTTGATAGGTGACAAGTGACCCTTTTTAGAGAGCAGGCCTGACCTACCTTCCCCAAGAAGCTCTGTCCCCCTCCTGCCTCCTCCACTGCACAGAGCACACAGGATCAGTTTGTTTTCTTAGTAATGAACTGACATCCATGCAGCAATTTTCTGCTCTCAGAGAACATGTACACATTGTCTTTGGTGTTCATTGATGGTAGAACAAGGCAGGGCAAACATCAGAATTATCTTCACATAGCAAAGGGGAATCGGCCTAAGGCTGACCTGACATAGCTAGTGTTCTGTGGCCCACGAGTAGATGAGCTAAGCTTGGGTCTTCAGTCCCCAGGACCTGTGGGAAGTGGACTTCGACCCTGAGATGCCACAGAGAAGCACCAGCTCTCTCTAACCAGGCAAGAAATCAGTAGCTTTGGAGTAGGGCTATACCTGTAGTGTATAACTATAACTAGAGCCAGATTATCTGTCTCGGGAAGTTTTCAGGGCTCTTAAGTGCTGACATCAGGTAATGTCATCCATTTTTAAACATTGTATTGCTCAGCTTTCCGTTGCTGGGACAAAATACCCATACCCACAGCTTAAGGAGGAGAGGTTTACTCTGGATCACAGTTTCAGAGATTTCAGTCCATGGCCAGCTGGCTCCAAGGCAGAAGCATCATGGCGGAAGGGCATGGCAAAAGAAAGCTGCTCACCCCATGGAGGCCAGGAAGCAAGATGGGAAGAGCGCCGAAGAGGAAGGCTCCAGGAACTAGATATAGTTCCCATAGTCATGCCCTATGGCCATTCCTCCAGCTACACCCCCACAGCCCATTCAGGTATGAACTCCATTCCCATTAATGAGGTTAGTGCTCTCACAGCTCAGTCCTCTCCAGGAGTCTCTTAATCCAGTCCAACTGATAACCAAGATTAACTGACACATAGCGAAAGATCATTTCACTTATGGCAACATTCAATAAATTCATTTATTTGTGTATTAACCAATCCAATATGTATATAAGTTTAGCAAGCAATACTCCATGTCCAATTGCCATAAGCCAAAAAATCAGTGTAACTGAACACTCAGTCCACGGAATTGTCAATGTAATTAATTTATCAAATGATCAGTTCATTGATTTTTACCAAATTTACCCATGTTTTAACATTTGTTAAACAAATATGAACTGAACAAAATGTTCAGAAATTTAAAAATTTCCCACATAAAACACTACTTTTCGGGGGAAAATTCCAGCCTTTAACTATGTAAGATTATTTAGTCTATTTCTGTGTTCTTTCTTTGCATCTTTTGAATGTAAGTGTATATTTTCAAATTGAAAAACTAAGTTTTTTTCCACCAATTTAAAAAGGCATTTAAGTTTTAACTTTACTGAGCCAGTGCAGCAGAAGGATCAGGTCCTGGAGGCAGCCTGGCAGGGGTTTGGCCCAGCTCTGCCACTTTCTGAGCTGCAGCCCCTTGGTGAAAGTGCTTACACATATGTGATGCCATCTGGGCACAGGTGCTGGTGGGCAGGGAATGCATCGCAGTGATAACAAGGCTATTTCTGGGTGGTAGGATTATAACTTGTCTGCCTTGTAACTTTTCTGTATGTTTTAAGACATCCTTTGTATAATTTAATTGTTCATTATATAAGAGGAACTACATCACATGGCTTCAGTATGTACTGTAGTTTACTTCACCCACAAGTTAATAAACCCGCAAGACAGTTCATAATATCACCTTTTTGCAAAGAAATTGAAACACTGAATCATTAAGTAATTTGTACAAATACCTCAGAAGAGTCTGGCTTCCAGTCTGTCTGACTTTAAGACTCATGCTAAGCTTACTTCTGGTAGTCCTTCTGTATTGAATGGGTGTGATATTTATATCTCAAAATGTGGCAGGAGGACAGAATGATATGATAGGTATGAAAGTCCACTGCAAATGATAAATCCTTCTACAAAGAATAATGATACTAAGTAACAGGTGTTGTGCATGTAGGGTGTACTGGGCGCTGTACTCTTCCGTGGGCTTTGGATATGTCACGTTCCTGTCACCATTTCCGTGACCGTGTGAGGCAGGTGGCCATTATAATCCACACTTAAGGCTATGGAGGGTCAGAGAAGGCAAATACCATGCCAGGGTCACACATTACATTAAGAATCTAGGTGGGAAGGCCAGGAATTTAGCTCAGTGGCACCGTGCCTGCCTTGCAAACACAAGGTCCTGAGTGGGACCCTTTCCATTGTCAATGATGCCTGAATCATCTTGCTCAGTCTTCTCCCCCACTTGCTCCTCAAGGATGCATCGAAGAGAATGAGAAACATCTATGAGAAGGCAGACAATCCGCCTGGCTCCATAGGAGAGAAAAAGAGAGGGAGACAGATCCGAGATGAGAGATCAGGTGTTACTCAGCCTTCTGTAGTACATGCATACTGACCTTGCTCTCCAAGGACTGTAGGGGACAACCTGGACCTCTGAGGACACTACTGCCACCTGCTGTTCACACATTCTCCATCCCGTGGCTTCTCTCCAACACCTTCACTCATAATCCTCTCAAGCTCTCCATACTGTGTATCCTAGACTCATTTTGTGGCCTGTGTAATAGAGTTTCAACCTTTGGTCAAGTTCAAATTCAGGAAGGGCCAATGCTTGGCCAAGCTAGAAAGGGTTGAATGAATCAAGATATACTTCTAAACCGTATGACCTCAGTGCAAGGCCTTTACGTCTTAGAGTCTTTTTCCCCATGTGTAAAACGAAAGCCACAGTAACAATATCTGCTTCATACTGTTGTATTTAAGATGAAATAAGGTTTTCCCCCATCTATACCCTACCTTTCTATCAAAAAAAGTTGAATATGTAAAGGACAAGCCAGGATGGGGTACAGTTTAACATCTCTAAATACCATAAATTACTTCTGCTTACATCATCATTTTAGCAACTTTCAACAGTCTTCTTTTATTTATTAAAGTGTTTTCTTTTATACTTTGCCACTGACTTGGAATTTATCAAAATGAAGTCTCTGTCATTTTCTTTTGTATTTTATTAAAAATGTCCGAACCAAATATGAAAGTGAAAAGGTTTTCTGATTTTTTATGCCAAAACTTTCCTAATTGTCCCTTATACCTGCGACTATCAGACTATTTCCAGGATTGTGATTGGCAAGTTTCACTTTGGTTCTTTGAGGCAAATGGCAACCAAAAACTGGAGTGGACTTTTTCCACTCAAGTTCCCTTGGGAACTGACACAAATGGGAAAGCTAAGAGGCCTGGCTCCCTCTGAGCATCTATAAACATTGCACCAGCTTCTGTTTGCCTGAAAATTCCTTCTGACTGAGCTGAGATGCCAGTCGTTGGATGGTAATCAGCATGCATGCTGTCAACCTATATGCCTGCCTGGATCCTTAACTTGTGTTGGTGGTTTAGAAGCTCAACAACACTGAAACTGTCTGTTGCTGAGTTCCAGGAAGGACACGTGAACTATTTCAGATAGTATCCACTGTACTCCATATTTCAGGTCTGGGTGTGCTGGGGGTGAGAGAGCTGATCTTGCTGCTTTCGCCCTCCAAAAAGAAGTTGGTACCAACCCACTCTCCCACATCTTTGGTGTAGAAAAAAGATTCAACAAAGACTATCTGCAACCTAGATTTCCCTTTTTGGTGCCCAAATTTTCTAAGAATTAGTCTTTGGGGGCCGGGGATTTAGCTCAGTGGTTCTCCCGCCTGCCCCGCAAGCGCAAGGACCCGAGTTCAATCCCCAGTGCCAAAAAAAAAAAAAAAAAAAAAGAATTAGTCTTTGAAAATTGTCATTCCTTTGTGGAAATGAAAACAGCATTTTTAAAAGAGCATTTGTACCTATTAGTAAAATTTTGTTATAAATTGCTCATTGCTGGTATCTGCAGTGAAATCAAACCTGCCTAATATCATTGTAATTTGTGAGATCTTGTTGCAAAGGAACAGCAATAAATTTTCCAGAATGCTAAAGAATTTTCATATTCTTTGAGTTAACAAATTCACTATTGACACTTTATCTTTCAAGATGGGCAAAAAGCTGTATTTAAGAAGCTGTCCATTGTAGCATTAATACCTGTAGCAGCCAAAGAAAAACCCAGGGACAGTCTAAGTCCTGACCCAAAGGGAATCATAGTTAATTAGGTTCATGGGATATTATTTTGTCATTAAATAATGATGAGTATGGAGGCTATGTAGAAATGTGGAGAAATGCTTGCTGTAATATGAAGTGAAAAGGGCAAAATATCGAGTGATATGTCCATTGTCATTGTAGCCATCTTAAGCTGTCTTGTGCCTATGGATGACATCTAAACTGAATTGGGAAAATATACAGTTATGTTCAGATCATAGAATTCTGGGTGACATTTATTTTTTGGTTTCCAAACTCTGTTTAATGTGGTTATATTGTAACAAGAAAACTGAGAGATTCTATTTCTAGGTTAACCTTGTTACACTACAGGGTATCTCTGTTTTGGAACGGGAAGGCAATTATAATCTATCTGAGAAACTAATGATTTCTCATTTTCATCAGTAATAGATTAAAAAAACCACCGAGAACTACAATGTTCAAATATGACATATTGCAATTAAAAGAACCAAGGCAGGAAAAATCCTCTAATATAAGAATCTTGTGCTCCTAAATGTCCAATGTACTGACCTGTCCTGGATGATACTTTTATCTATCTTTGATAGAAAGAATCATAAAGCGACTATTAAATATGTCAAGGTCTCTTTTACTGCCAACTTACATTTGACTAGCACTTTAATTCTTAAAATACTTTCATATGCTTTATGAAATTTGAGTTTCCAAACAGCTCCACACAGCAAGCAGTTCATGTAGTATTATGACCATTTTATAGATGGGGAGATTAAGGCTGAGCAAACTGAGCGATGAGCCCGAGTTCACACAGCTAGTAAGTAGCAGAGCTAGAACTAAATATGCAAGAGCCTGATAGCAGTGTGGGAAAACACAGTGTGGGACAATTGCAGGAAGTTGACAACTACAGGAAGATGGTACCCAGAGCCAAGAGTCATCTATAAGAAGAAGATGAGACATGTGCAGCACTTGATGGATAGTTTTAGGGGGGCACTCAGACTCAATCTAAGGCTAGACTTAGATTCCTAGTCCTTTAGTGGACTAAAAAGCTGAGAAGAAACTTTTCAAACTTAGGCCCAGGACAGTAATAAAAGGAATAACTCTTAAGATGATTTCTAATTACTGAACCAATGTCCAAATGTTGACATATGTCATTATATAGTATAAAAACTACATTCAGTCCTGGGACTGTAGTTCAGTTTTAGAGTGCTTGCCTAGCATTCAAGAGGCCCTGGGTTCAGTCCCCAGCCCTACCCACCCTGAATTAGATTAATACTATATCTCACCATGTGCGTTAGCTTTTTGTTGATATGACAAAATACCTGAGGATAGCAACTTAAAGGAAAAGAAGGTTTCTTTTGGCTCACAGTTTCAGGGCATAGTTGGCTGATTCCATTGCTTTTAGACCTGTTGCAAGGCAGAAACATCATGGCAGTTTTGCCTGAAGTTTTGCCATCAGCATCATCACATTCATGTTGCTAGCAGCAACTCAGTTTCAGCAAAACATCTTTTTTTTTTTTTTTTTTTGTACCAGGGATCGAATTCTGGTCCTTGCGCTTGCATAGCAGGTGGCAAAACCACTGAGCTAAATCCCCGGCCCTCAGCAAAACATCTTTAAAAATTCTCCTTTGACCTATTTTGCATTTGTATTTATGTATGTTTAAATGAATATATCTCCTGGACTTGTAAGCTTACTAAATTTGAATGCACTTAAATATATCTTAACATGGCATCATGTATAAACTTGTAACTGTTATACAGCTAGAAAGGCAAAGCATATTAAATACAGAGAGAACAATAAAACCAAAATAATATGTACCTGAGTCTGGGGCACTGTGAAGAATTCCTGACCCAAGAAGGTAAATGGGAGCAGGCAGTCAGTGCTTGGCCACAGCTGGAAGGAGAGTGACACACCTGAGACCCTGACCCTACTGATGCCTTCATAATCAGTAGAGAACTCACATGGACACGTGTGGCCATCTGCTGAGAAATTCTCAGTGCCCCTAAGCAAGATATTTCACTCCTGAGCCCCTCTGACAAATAAGAATACATGTACATATTTCACAAGATGCATTTGGAAAATGAAGGTAAATGCGCACAACTGTTTTTGGCAAAGAAGGTAGAAAAGCAGTTTAGGTTTTGCTTCTTCTCTTGCCTCTTTCAGGTCCTCTCTTATTTCCTAATTTTATTCTTGTGGCTGACTCTGGAGCCAAACTCCTAGTTCTATGCATTTTCATTGGCTATGTGATCTTAAATAAATTATTTACTCTTACCTTCAATCCTTCGTCTTAAATTGGAGTAATAATAATTCCTATGCCATACAATTGTTTTTTATTTATTCTTTTTTATTAGTACATTCACCATTTTTCCTTTCACTCTTTTTCTTTCTATTCCCCCCCTTTTTTGGTACCGGGGATCGAACTTGGGACCTTGCACTTGCGAGGCAGGCAGCGGAACCACTGAGCTAAACCCCCGGCCACTTTCTATCCCTTTTCCCTCTCCTTCCTACCCCTTGCCTCCATCTCTTGTTCACCTTCCCATTTGAAAAAGATCTCCCTACTTCCTATGTCTCTCCTCTTCTTCCCCCTCCCTTGGATTTTCTCCCCTTTTATGCATGGCGTGTTTGGAGGCGTTTTTGTTGCCTTGTCTTCTAATGTTTCTATTTTTTGTCTGTTTGTTTTCTGAACTAGGGTTTTCTGGTTGAACAAAGTGGGTTGCGGTGATATCCTCTGAGTGTGACTAACTATTGGCCTTTGCTTCTGTCCCAGGATCCAGCTACCTCCATTTATTTGGAAGGGGAGCTTGCAGATTATTTGGCCCAGTACCCATTTCTTTGGGAATGGGCCACAGTATCAGGCAATCCAGATATTGGCATACAGGGAACCAATTGACAGTACCAACTATGTCACCTTGGCTATTGTAGTAAACTCAGCAACAACAATAGCATCATATATAGAATGGATACTGACAGACTGTAAGAACAATTCATGTACCACCCTTAACCAGAGCAGAGAAGTCTCTCATTTTAGTATAGACACTTAGGTACCCCAGATATTGACTGATGGTGAATCAGACCACTGGTCTGTGACGGATGTGGGCAGTGGTATGAGAGCTCGAGCAGACCACTGGACTCAGTGCCACCACCTTCAGATCCAGCCCCCTCTGAAGGTTACACCCACAAAACCTAGCATCTCACCACAGAATGCAGGCCCCGTGATCTTCCTGGTCTGACCTTGAGATTCTCAGAGGGCCTCGGGGACTGTACTGTATAACTAGCTCTCACCTTTTCTGAGTCTGTCTCCCCTGACTCTCTCTCACCCAGTCTCTGCGGTAGGATAGCACTTCCGTCCTGGAGTGAAACTGTCCTCCAGGGTGTTGGTCTCATTCTCAATCAGGTCGATCTTCTGGTTGTCAGCTCTGCTGCCCTGTGCTGAGGAGAACCAAGGTGCAGACTGGCTAGGAGTTGCTAGTTTGACTCTGGTAGTAGTGGGATGGGCTCCTCCTCCTCCTTTTTTTTGGTACCAGGGATTGAACTCGGGACCTTGTGCTTTCGAGGCAGACACTGGAACCACTGAGCTAAATCCCTGACCCCTCCTCCTCCTTCTTGTGCGGCATGATGCAGCCTTTACCTCATAAAACTGTTGAGTGCATTATTAATAATGTATAAAAAGTACGATGCCTACAAAGAGCTCAGTAAATAATTGCTATTAACTAAACACTCAGCAACTAAGAGCTAAATGAATGTTAGCTATCATTATTTGGATTTTAAATGATAGTTAAGAGTTTAGTCCCTCCTAAACTTTCTTTATTCATTTTTGTTTTGTTTTGTTTGTTGAAATGGAGCCTTGCTATGTAGTTCAGGCTGGCCTTGAACTCACTGTGATACTCCTGCCTCAGCTGCCCAAGTGGTGGGATTATAGGTGTACTTTACCACACTCAATTTAAAAGTTTGTTTTTAG